TAACCAAGTGTGAACAAAACTTAAGGAAGTTGTACCTTTCAGCATGTATATCGGGATTCAGACAATAACTCTGAAAGATATTACAGTGGCCTTTATTGAAGACACACGAGATAACCAAGTGTGAACAAAACTTAAGGAAGTTGTACCTTTCAGCATGTATATCGGGATTTCAGACAATAACTCTGAAAGATATTACAGTGACCTTTATTGAAGACACACGAGATAACCAAGTGTGAACAAAACTTAAGGAAGTTGTACCTTTCAGCATGTATATCGGGATTGAGACAATAACTCTGAAAGATATTACAGTGACCTTTATTGAAGACACACGAGATAACCAAGTGTGAACAAAACTTAAGGAAGTTGTACCTTTCAGCATGTATATCGGGATTGAGACAATAACTCTGAAAGATATTACAGTGACCATTATTGAAGACACACGAGATAACCAAGTGTGAACAAAACTTAAGGAAGTTGTACCTTTCAGCATGTATATCGGGATTGAGACAATAACTCTGAAAGATATTACAGTGACCTTTATTGAAGACACACGAGATAACCAAGTGTGAACAAAACTTAAGGAAGTTGTACCTTTCAGCATGTATATCGGGATTGAGACAATAACTCTGAAAGATATTACAGTGACCTTTATTGAAGACACACGAGATAACCAAGTGTGAACAAAACTTAAAGAAGTTGTACGTTTCAGCATGTATATCGGGATTGAGACAATAACTCTGAAAGATATTACAGTGACCTTTATTGAAGATACACGAGATAACCAATATACACTCATGGACAAAACTTAAGGAAGTTGTACCTTTTAGCATGTATATCGGGATTCAGACAATAACTCTGAAAGATATTACAGTGACCTTTATTGAAGACACACGAGATAACCAAGTGCGAGCAAAACTTAAGGAAGTTGTACCTTTCAGCATGTATATCGGGATTCAGACAATAACTCTGAAAGATATTACAGTGACATTTATTGAAGACACACGAGATAACCAAGTGCTAAAAAAGTCACCTCTGTCTCCTTGAATATAATAAAAACAGACAACCAACGATATCAAAGACTTTCCACTTTCTTAACTTTTGTCCATGAGTGTAAATGAATCATATTTTAGAGGATAGAGCTGTTCTCAAATCTATTGATTTCCAATATAATGGACGGAGTTTTATATAATTAGTGAAGTGATTAAGAAAAAAAAAAAATTGTCTATAAGTCTAAGTCACAGCTTTATGGACCTAATATCAGCACGACGGTGGCGCTCGAATGGCCAAAGTTGGAACTAAAATTGCCATTGTAATTTTAAAGTCCCGTTTGAAGTAAAATTTATATAGGGACAGGTTTTAATTATTTATTTATTTTTATATTTTATTAATCTCACTCACGATTTCTCAATTTTAAAAACTGGTCATATAAAAAATATTAACCTAATTTTAGTTCCATCTTCTGCCACTTGAGCGCCACCGTAGAGCTAATACTTTGTCCATAAATACAGCTTGCTTAATAGAATTTCTTTGCATTTTGAAAAAGGATTTTGCATCAATTCTGTAGATTTTAAGCATTCGTAGTTTCGCCAGATTCCCTTTAATTATAACTTCTAGCTATTATTTCATTATTATAATTAATAGAAGACAATAGCCCGCCATCTATTTATAGGAAATACAAACATTAAGTCACGGTGTTTCTTTTGAACATAAAACAAACTTCTATGTCCTTACTGCGATGAACAAATATTATATCCACAGTTTGATTGAATGCCATTTCTGAGATTCCATCCTTCAGTGTAGCATATATAATCGTCCAATACAGTATTAGAGCTCTGAGAAGTTGTCTGGTAGAGCTAAGGCTTCCCACTTATTTGTTTCATAATCACTTAACTAATTATATAAAACTCCGTTCATTATATTGAAAAATCAGTAGATTTGAACAGCTACATCCTCTAAAATATGATTCATTTACACTCATGGACAAAACTGAAGAAAGTGGAAAGTCTTTGATGTCGCCGGTCATCTTTTTTTTTTTTTAATTTAAGGAGACAGAGAGAACTTTTTTTACACTTGGTTATCCCGTGTGTCTTCAATAAAGGTCACTGTAATATCTTTCAGAGTTATTGTACCGATATACATGCTAAAACGTACAACTTCCTCAAGTTTTGTCCATGAGTGTAGATCATCACAATAGGCGCGCGTAATTCAATAAAAACATTATAATAAAAGTATTAGAAGAAAAAATACATATTTTGATCAATGTATTTTTATGACTCTAATTATATTATTGAAAAAATTGAGAAAAAATTTCAACTCATTAAACCAACTTTATGGACCGTATATCAGCTCGACGGTGGCGCTCGAGTGGCCAAAGTTGGAACTAAAATTTCCATTGTAATTTTAAAGTCCCATTTGAAGTTAAATTTATATAGAAACTCATTTATAATTATTTATTAATTTTTATATTATATTAATTCTACTCACGAATTCTCAATTTTAAAAATTTGGCATTTAAACATATCAACCCAATTTTAGTTCCAACTTTTGCCACTTGAGCTCCACCGTCGAGCAAATACTTTGCCCATAAATAATAGAATTTCTTTCATTTTTTAAAAAAGAAGTTTGTGACAATTCTGTAGATTTCAAGCATATATAGTTTCGCCACACATTTGTTTCAATTATAACTTCAAGTTATTATTATAATTAATATAAGACAATAGCGCCCGCCATCTGTATATAGGAAATACAAACATTAAGTCACGGTGTTCCTTTTGAACATAAAACAAACTTCTACTGTCCTTACTGCGATGAACAAAGATTATGTCCACAGTTTGATTGAATGCCATTTCTGAGATTCCATCCCTCAGTGAAGCATATATGAGCAGATTCATCCAATACAGTATTAGAGCTCTGAGAAGCTGTCTGGTAGATAAAATTGGCGAAACCGCTAGGAAGGGTTAGCCACTGATGAGCCAAGCCCTCCCAATATTTTTCATCGCACTTTTAAGCATTAATGTTTTATTTTCACACAAATCAACCTTCTACTGTCCTTACTGCATTGATATAAATAATGTGAGGGCTTGGATCATCAGTGGTGAACCTTCCATATTTGACTTCTTTCAGGTTACAAAATAACTTCACTAGGTACCGCTCAAAAAGACCAACCTACCTTATGATATTTAACAACAATGAATAATATACGTGAACGTTATTCACATATTAAAACAAAGTGTACATGGCTGTCGGGAATCAAGGATTTTACCCACTCGTCCACCGACTTTTAACTCCTTTGACAGTAAACAAATTTTAGTACAATTTTTTATTTTATCTAACTTGTCTGCATTAAACATTTTTTATTCAAATAAAAAACAATAAAATAAGACCTAATCCAAATAAATTAATAGTTACACGGAATCAGCGGTTTATTATTTATTGAACATCAAATCAATAAGTCAGGACAGGATAAGAGTGGCCCTGAGAGGACCGTTGGTGCGGGGCTAGACACGAGCCTTGGCAGAGTTAATGGCTTTATCTTTGGTTGTAAGTTTGGATGTCGATTCGGTGCCTTCTTGGTCTTTGGTATTGGTACGTGACGTTTCGGTAACAGCATTGTTACTATCATCAGACAAAAGAACCATCTATTCATTTATTATTTTGCCTGATGATGGTAATATTGGATTAGGTGTTATTTTCTTGTATCCATAATCTATAATCCAAATTGTGCTTTAACATTTAAATTAATAAAAATGATCTCGTGTTACAGTATCTGTTGACATGTGTCTGTCCATTTATTCACTTACTTTTATCTTCCATCTATTTTCACCCTCTTCCCTTGGCACGAGGAATCTCACCTTGCTGAACCATCTTGGTGGTGAACAGTAACTTGGTGTATTGAAACAGTGTCTGCTTGCTACACACAATATATCTTCTTATTTCTTATCTCAACTCCGCCTTTGCCGGGCCCAAACACGGATGAAAAAGGAGGAGGGGGAGACAGTACCAAGCTCAGTAAAAAAACTTGGACTCAGCTGGCCCGGCTGATAGTACCCTGTAAGGGCTCCTAATCCAGGGATACAGGATGAGTCTGTACTCCTTGTTAGGAGCAGCTGCACATGGCGTCTGTTCCTCATGTCAGAGGCGGCCATTTCTTTTGGAGCTAAGTCGGCCTGCCACTGAGTAGAGCTCCCAGTCTTAATGACAAAGGCATTCTACTTCACCCAGTTATGATGGTTGTCAGACATTATATAATAGGCTCAAATATCAAGTCAATTGGTTAGTAGCCTTATTATGATGGTGTTTGCTTGGTCCCTCGCCTTTTAAGATCAGGTGGGTCCGTGGTGTAGACCAGTATACCCGTCTACAGGATTATCGAACGGCCGCCGGACCTACAGTCCTGGATCTTTTCAATTGATCTCGAGGACCACGCCATAACCATCTCCTCAGCGGTGAAGCACGAGATCTACGTTTTCTCAGTAGATCCTGAAATACGTGGTGTCGCTGGAGACTCTCCACCAAACTCTGCAGTTGTGGCAGAGGCTCCATATTCATTGTACATAGTGAGGTATGTATATATGTATAATTATCATTTAAAAATATTACAGACTGTGCACTTTTGCATGTATTGACAAGATGTCAATAGAATTATGTCAAATATCTACAGGAGGGATCGGCGGTCTGGTTGCTGTCCTCTGACATAACAAAATTAATGTCATTTAAATGATGACTATTTCTATCTTCGCACTGATTGCCTCAATGGACGACATTTTTCCATAAGTTTGCATTTTGAGAGAAGAAAATAAATAATTTTATTCTAAAAATAATAATAGTTTCAAATTTGTCACTAACACAAATAGCGTGCTATATAAAAATTGTTATATGTATGTAAAAATTACTATAATTACATTTTACAATACATGTTTAATACAGATATATATATATTTCAATGGGATATTTTGTGAATAGAGATTTGCGCACATATATTGGGATGTGTGCTGTGTGTATGGACCCGAAACGCGGGTTCGAATCCGGGACGTTTAGATCTCCAGACTAACTCTTTCGCAACTGAGCTATTCCGCCTTATATAATAATAATTAAAAAATGAAAAAAATATTTAGAGTTTCGTATTTTCAGTCGGGAAATCTGCCCTATAGCACAAGTGTCCTCTGACGCGAGGAAGGTCGTCTTCAAGGCTGGTTCCGAAGAACCAAGCCTGTTGGTCAGGGGGTCTCCCGATGATGTTGAAGGCCTCCCGGACGAGGGGCCTGATGTTACGGCATCCCCAGGGAGCCGTCGTCGGACCCGCAGGCAGGACAGGACGGACCGGCTGATGCTGGATGGTCCGGGTGGCATGCAGTGCCAATCTGACGTCTACATTGTGACCCGAGAAGGCGCAGATCTGTAGCGAGAGCCAGTCAGACCTGACCAGAACGTCGATGACAGGCACCCATCTCTCCAGGAACCGGGTAACCGGCAGGGCCGCAAGGCGCGGGCGTTCCAGAGCGCGACGAGCTGAGCGGGTGGTGATTTTGATGATCGTCCCGCGCAGGACAACGGCCTCGGCCAGACTGGGCTCCCGGAAGTTTGCCTGGAGGTTCTCTGCCACTCTGACAGAAGGCGGCGAGGACCGCGGGATCAGCGAGAGCAATGAGCGTAGGGCGGAAGATATAGATGTTGCTCAGGTCCCAGACTCGGGCGCCGACCCAGCGCGAGTGAGCCAGAAGTTTCGGAGGGCGGAGGAACCGGCAGCCGCCAATGATGGGGATATCCAGAAGATGTGCCGTGGGAGCCACTCGGTGGTTGAGGCTCAGGAAGCTCGATATTTCATCCCAAAGTCTGAGCAGCCAGAGCTGGGGCTGGAGTCTGGTGCTGTCGGGTGAAGGTCTCAGCCAGGCGTCGCTTTTCACCATTCAGGAGAAGCCATTTTTCCCTCCGAGGAGCGTGACCTGGACACCCTTGTGGCATGCAAGGTGGAGCTGAGTGCCAATGTCCATAAGGCCGAGGCTCCCCGTGACCACGGGCCTCGCTAGGATGTCAGCAGGTAGCCACGCATGTGGTCAGGCCCCCATATAAATCTCGCTAGACGGGCCTGCAGCTTGAAGATGGCCACAGCTTCTGGAAGGTACCCGTGGAGGTGGTGCTGGATGGTGGAGAGCACTAGGGAGTTGGCGGCCCTAGCTCGCCCGACAAGGGAGAGGCCGCGTGTGAAGGGCGTCCACTTCCGGCAGGCAGACTCCAGAAGATGGTGTTCCCGGTGGGTGACGGATCTCCTGGGAGCGACTCGTATTCCTAGGACCTCGATCGAGAAGTTCGACCAGGAAGCACCGAGGAGAGAATCGCCGCGTGATGGGCCGCACTAGAGAATTTACCAAAAAGGTGTCTAAAACTACGAAGTGGCAGCAGCCAATCTTAGACCAGAATAAAATGTTAGCAGTGCTATACAGAATAAATGAAACCATTAAAGCACGAAAGTTTCTCATAGAATAAACTTCTCTCTTACCTCGCTGGGGAGGGCTTAGCTCATCAGGGGGTGAACCTACAGTTTCGCCAATTCAATCTACCAGAACGCTCTTTTTAAAGCTATAATACTCTATTGTGTACGATTGGATGGGTTTACCACTCATGAGCCAAACCCTCCCAATACTTTTTTTTAACGCAGTAAGGACAGTAGAAAAGTTTGTTTTATGTGTAAAAGAAACATTCGTGCTTTAAAGCTTTCATTTCTTATATATAGATGACACGTTATTGCCTTATTATAAATGGTATACAGGTAGTTTCTGTTGTTTAAACATGCCAAAGCTCATGTTGAAGTATAATTTGAGCGTTATTCTCAGAGGTCAATAGATGTGTAGCGGCTCCCAAATATTAACTTTTCATATTTTCATCATAAGTTTTAATTTGTTTAATAACTATTTAATTCAAATATTAAATTAAAATATTCATCTTATAAATATATTGTCACGGTAGTGATAACGAGTATAACAAAAGTTTAAGTAAAAATAATTTATTTATAAAATGCAAACTATTGCTAAGAATTTATTTACAAGTAATAATATACAAGAATGGTAAGGGGTGATGACCTTGCAAATATTAATGATGATATACCACAGAATATTTAAAATAATTATTCAGTGATATTGCCCCCCTCCTAGATGAACAGCGTCCCGCTGTAATTATCACTTGAACAGATCAGCTTGGTCCTCAGGGTCATGGTAGGGTTTCATTCTCAGTACATGGACAAGGTCTCTTGTTTGGCGTCTTCTGGTTGGTTGGTCCACAGGTTCAACTTCGAAGGTCACGTCAGAGAGTTTCCGAGTAACCCTGTATGGCCCGAAGTACCTTTTCATCAGTTTTTCTGAGAGTCCCACCTTTCTTATCGGGATGAAAATCCATACCAGGTCACCAACGTTGTAATCCATTGCCTCGTGCTTTGAGTCATATCTGGCCTTGTCCTTCTCTTGGGCTTTCAAGGTTTCTAATCTTGCTAGCTGCCTAGTCTCTTCGACTCGCGAGGCAATCTTCTGACTGTAATCCTCTTGGAGATCTTCATGCGGATTTGGGAAAAGAGTGTCTACAGTTGTTTCGGCTTCGCGTCCATGAATCAGTTTAAAAGGGGTAAAACCTGTTGTATCTTGTTTTGCCGTGTTGTAGGCGAACGTGACGTAGGGCAGGATTACGTCCCAGTCCTTCTGTTCAACACTTACATACATAGCAATCATGTTGGCTAAGGTTTTGTTTAACCTCTCCGTCAGTCCATTCGTCTGGGGATGATACGCTGTAGTGAACCGATGTATCGACGAGCATTGATTGGTGAGTTCCGCAATCAATTTGGATTGGAATACTCGTCCTCGGTCCGTGATGATTTCTCTGGGGGCTCCATGCTTGAGAACAACATCTTCCATTAAGAACTTGGCTGCTTCTTTTGCTTCCCCTGTGGGTAAGGCTTTAGTAACGGCAAATCGAGTAAGATAGTCGGTACAGACTATGATCCGTTTATTACCAGTATCAGACTTGGGAAATCTTCCAAGGAGGTCCATTCCAACTCTCTGAAAAGGGCAGGATGCAGGAGGTATGGCCTTAAGTAGTCCGGGTGGCTTTTGAGTTGATTGTTTCTTTCTTTGGCACTCCTTACAATGAGCGACATACTTCCGTATGTCCCGGAGAAGTCCTGGCCAGAAATATTTGTTTTTAACTCTCTCATATGTCTTCGAAAATCCAAGATGACCTGCTGTGGGAGCATCGTGTAAACTTTTCAGTAGTTCTAAGCGTAAGTGCTTGGGAATAACTAAAAGGTGTTGGTTTCCCAGGGGGTCGAAATTCTTTTTGTATAAGGTTCCTTTTAATATTTCATATCCTTTTGATTCGGCACCAAATATTTCTGTTTCATCTATCAATTTATTAATTTTAGGGTCTTTTCTTTGTTCAGCTTCGAAGCACGTTAGAGCAGTTATTGAGGGTATATCATCATCCTCATCATTGTATGCTTCTTCCGATTCAAGTTGGAGAGGATTTCGAGAAAGACAGTCGGCATCTTGGTGTTTGCGTCCACTTTTATAAACAACTGTTACATTGTATTCTTGGAGTTTTAAAGCCCATCTTGCTAGTCTTCCTGTCGGGTCCTTCAGGTTAGATAACCAGCAAAGAGCGTGGTGGTCAGTGACGATGACAAACTCACGACCAAAAAGGTACGGTCGAAATTTGTTGATGGCCCATATTGCGGCCAAGCATTCTCTTTCCGTTGTTGAGTAATTCTTCTCCGCCTTAGATAAAGTTCTTGAAGCATAACCAACTGGTCGCTCTTTCCATCGTTGATCTGTACGAGGACAGCTCCAATTCCATAACCGCTGGCGTCAGTATGAAGCTCGGTTGGCAGTTGTTCTTCGAAATAGGCAAGAACAGGTTCAGACATCAATGCTTTTTTCAAGGAATCAAAAGCATCCTGTTGGTCAGAGTTCCACGTGAATTTATTATCTTTTTTGAGGACTTCGTGTAAAGAGCAGCTTTCTCAGCAAAATTTTCGATAAATCTACGATAATAGGAACATAGGCCAATGAAGCTTCTCACATCTGTTATAGATTTTGGGGTAGGAAACTTGGCGATAGCTTCAATCTTTTCTGGATCGGGATAAATACCTTTACTATCGACGAGGTGTCCAAACACTCTTATTCTTTTGGTTCCGAAAAGGCACTTTTTTGGGTTGAGGCGTAGCTCGGCTTTGTCGAGACATTGTAGTATGATTTCAAGCCGGTGTAAATGTTCGTTGAACGATTTGGAATACACCACGATGTCGTCTAAATAACAGAGGGCCATCGTCCATTTCAGGCCTTTCAATATCTTGTCCATCATGCGCTCGAATGTTGCAGGGGCATTGCACAGGCCAAAGGGCATAACTAGGAATTCGTAGAGTCCGTCAGGGGTAATAAAGGCAGTTTTTTCTCTATCTGCTTCGTCGACTTCTATTTGCCAATATCCTGAACGAAGGTCCATTGATGAATAAAATTTGGCTCCTTTCATGGAGTCAAGTGTATCATCGATTCGGGGTAGTGGGTAAACGTCTTTTTTAGTAACTTTGTTTAGTCGTCTGTAATCCACACAGAAACGCCAGTTACCATCCTTCTTCTTCACTAAAATAACCGGCGATGACCATGGACTTTCTGAGTGACGTATAATCCCGGCGTCTAGCATTTTGTCCACTTCCGTTTGGATTGCTTGGCGTTCTGTAGGGGAGACTCGATATGGTCTATGCTTAATAGGCTGATGGTTTCCAGTTTCAATTTTATGTTTGGTTACTGAAGTTTGCTTTACAGGTTCATTATTTTTATCAAATATTTTTTCATATCGTTTTAAAATTGATAAGATTTGAGACTGCTGCTCTTCTGATAAATCATCACTAATTAAATTTTGTAAAAATTTAAAGTCACTCTTATCAGCATGACTGGCATGATTCGCATTTTTCACCTCCTTATTAAATTCAGAACATTCTGAAATAGCCGTCAAGTTATTTTCTTCAACCCTTTGAATTTTTCCTAGGCACATTCCCTTAGGGACTATTTGAGCTGTGGTGCTAGAATTTACGATCC